CCAGCAAGGGGATCAGACAGCTTGCTAATAATGCAAATAAGATGCTTGGAAGCTCAAGGGGTGTAACTATGCAAATAAGGTGTATGGAACTCTAATGAGGGGATTGATCAGTTTTACCATCCTGCTAGGCTTAAAATGAGGCATCCTAGAGGCAGAAAGGGGGAACCTCACTACCACCCAAGAAAGAAGAGCTAGGAGTAGGATGTATCCTTTGTACCTGGGATCCCTGTGCTGAGAACCTCCTGGACCCAGGAGACAGAGAGAGTTGTAACATTAGAGGCAGCAAGACTTTGAAAAGCAGTTGCAGAACTGGGGGATAGCAACTACAGTGGAATCAAGAGACCAGGAAGAGATGGTGTGGTAGGCTTCTTGGCCCACAGATCGAGAAAATTCAGAGCCTTGGGGCCGAAAGCTTGTTGGTGGAGTCAAATGCCTCTAGGCACCTGCCCCACAGCTAAGCTGGCTGACCCACAGAGCTAGAGATCTGAGCCCCTTCTGGCCAGTGTTCACTGGCAGAGTAGGATGGAGCTAAAGAGCTTTGTAACACTTGCCCCAGCAAGACAGATGTTGGGAGGAGAGGCCAAGGGCCAGAGAGAGGCTTGCTGCAGGCGTGGCTGAGAAACTGTCCTGATCAAAGAACTGTATCTGAGTTGTTCCTGACCCTGAATTATGACCAGAAGGCTGGCAGTTCAAACCCACCAGCCACTCCTCAGAAGGAAGGGTGGGCAATCTACTTCCATAGTGATACTGCTTCAGAAACACAAGGAAGGGTCGCTATGAGTTGAGTTTGAATAGATGGCAGTACTTCCCTAATAAATCCGTAATCGTGAGTGTTATCTATGAGCTCTGTGTGGCCATTGCAGCAAATTATTGAACCCAACAGAGAGTAGGAAAGGTCTGGTAGGGTAGTGCCTAAGGCATTTGACTGCGAACCACAAGGCTGGCTGTTCAAGCTGTGGGAGGGAGGGTTGATATCAGAACTGGTGAAAAATTTGGAGGGAGGAGATATATCTGACCTCTGCCTCATAGGACTCAGCTTGGGGCTATTGGTCTTGACTCTTCTTCTCCCTTGTGAACTTAGAGGAGGTCAGACACCTCTACCATGCCATTTTTACAGGTTCAAACTGCCAACCTTTCCGGCTAGTAGCTGCGTACTTAACCATTTGCACCACTCAGAGACTTTACAAGGCTATGCAGTGGATGCTATCTGTAAGTCCATTTTACAGATAAGAAAAGAGGGCCTAAAGCAGTTAGGTGATTTGCCCCAGATAGCACAGCTAGTAAGGGCAAAGCCAGGATTTGAACTCACACTATTTAGTGTGATATGATCAGCTTCTCAGAGGTAATAGCTCATAAAGTTAGCTGCACTCGAGCATTCAATGCCAGAGTGTTGCTGAGGTGGCAGAAGTTAATCTCAATTTTCATCCCTTATTCGTTTATCTCACAAATATTTATTGAGGGCCAATTATATGTAGTATACAGTTTCAGGCTTGATTATCATTATATTGAAGAAGGCTACCTGCCCATTCCCCTAGAGCATTGAACTCTCAAATATCTCAACAGAACATGCATGTATAACTAACATAAATTTAGTAAGAATAAAAATACCATAACTATTCCCTGATGAAAAAATCCAAAACTGATATTCATAACTTTTAGAATATCACATACTTCCTAGATGGAACATTTAGCATTCTCCTCTGTATTTCCATCTCTTAATAAACACAACTTGGAAGTAATTTAAGGTGAGTTTCATGTATCTGGCTTTGTAGGAGTATGTTGAATATAGCAGTATTGTCTTCAGCTCAGGAATTTTATGTTTGTTGAATGGATAGATGGAAGAGCAGATGAGTAAATAATGAAAAATTATGCCTGTGATGTCCTAGGTGCTAAGATCTTAAAAAAAAAAAAAAATTAGTAATTACAGTTCAAGAGGAAGTTTTGATTTCTATCCTTCCCACAGACTGAATAAATATCTTCAAGCAAGTCATTCTGATCCCAGTTTCCTCATCTGTAAAATATGGATGATAGCAGTGCCTACATCATCAGATTGTTGTGAGAACTAAATGAGATAATGCATATAAATTACTTGGACCTTTCTTAATAGATAGTAACCAGCACAATTTATTTGAAGAATATATACAAAATATATGTAAAAAATTTAAAATTCAAATAGTACAAAAAGCTACATAATGCAAAATAATTCTCTTTTGACAAAGTTTTCTGTTATCACTATTATTATTATATCTTCTAGCAATAATAACATTTCACAATTAACTGAGAAGAGAGGTTTACAAACCTGTGGATAACATCATTTGACTGAGGACCAAGTGAAATAGCACAACTATTCTGGCTAAATTCCAGTGTGAGTGATTAACATTCTCCAACTTCAAATAATTTTTATTATTAGCCAACATTTGTCCATCCCCAGTAATACACAGGTTGTATAAAGGGCACAGAAGGAGACAGTCCTCCCTGGCATGTTCACAGCCTGCACATATTTTCCACTAAATGTTTCCCTTTCTTTTTGGCTGCTATTCCACAGCTTTTCAACTCCCACTACTTTCATCCCTGGCATGTTTGCCAACACAGAGGGCTAAGCATTTAAATATGAACACCTGTAGAATTCCAGTGAAGGAAAGATGTAACTTACATGTTAACATACCTATTAATAGTTTTGATGTATGTGAAGTCACTGATATTTATTCCTTTTAATTTTGAGTCTGGGATTAATACACATAGTCTTCATATTTCTTACAAAGCAGGAAAGAGGAAGGCTGTTGTACAGTTTAGTCTCCCAGCAGATACAATGGGATCTAGGACATAAGATCCAAGATAAGCCGCGGTTGAATGTAGCGCTTTTAGTCCACTGCTCAAGTCCTTCTAGACCTCCCAGGGCCTCCTGCTTATTTCTGCCTTCTTCCTAGTGGAAGGGGGAAGGCGGACAGAGAACAACTCAGACGCCTTCTGTATGCATGTGAATGAATTTCAAGTATGTGAAACACCTCAGTCTTCCAATCTAATTAGAACACGTAAAAAAGAGGGATTTTTAGTACATTTAAAACCTGCAGTGTAACAACCCATTTGGAGAGCGTCACTGCGTGTCCCTGCAGGGGGAGCGCCCAGCAGGTTTTCCGCAAGCCTGGCTGCACCGTTCGCCCTGGGCAACCCCGGGAACCTGGCGCCCTGCGGGTTACGGAGCTCAGAGTCAGCGCTGCTTCTCTTTGTGGGCGACTTCGGAACTGTCTGGGAATATAAACCTCACCTGATCACTCTCTCGTCACAACAACGGGATTTTGTTACGAAATGCTAAAGTAAAGGTGGAAGCTCGGGGAGTGTCGATATGAACGGGGATGCCGAGTTAAGACTGAGCCTGCAGCTGGGATCCTGGCTTTGCAATTCAGGCTCATCATCCAGGAATACGGCTGTGAACAGGGCTGTTGAGGTCGCGGCTTCCTTGGGGAACTATGAGCTGGGTTTCCTCACCTGTACAGGGCACCTGCCTCATAGGATGGTTGTAAGGACGTGAGATCTTGCATTAAGATGTAAACGATGAACGCACTGTCCCGCACACAGCGGCTCTTCACCCGACGTAAACTCATCCAGTACAGGGACAGCGCAGAGGGGAAACAGGTGTCATGGCTAAAGATAATGCTTTCCGCAGTTCTTCTAAACAAATGGTAGACTCTTGGAGGATGTTTAGCTGCAAAGGGTAGACCTGCGGGAAGCCCTGGGGGCAAAGTTTCAGAAGCCAGAACACCTAGGAAAGTAAAATGCACATCCGCCAGCTGAGAACTCGGGAGCAACTTCTTGCGAGGCTTTCCCTCCGGGAGTCTCAGGGCTGCAGCGTTAGCATTCGACCCGCCCCCGGCGTTTCCCGGCTTGCGATTGGCCATCGCTCCTTGGCTGCCTGCTCCGGACCCGGCCTCAGGGCGGTAGGGGCGAGGCCGAGCCCGTGGGGCAGTGGGCGGTGACGCGAGGAGAGCGTGGCGGGGCGGCCTCCAACCGAGCCCCTGCGCGAGGGGGCGGGGCCTGGGCGGGGCTCCCGGCCGGCCTTAGAGGCAGGTGACCCGGGCGGGGCGGGAGAGGCCAGTTGGCCGGCGGCCGTGACTGTGCTGCCAGCGCGGCCGCCGAGTGTCGAGCGTGCCCGCTGGAGGTGAGCTAAAGGGTGCCGGAGCGCGGGGGAGGAGCCGAGTCCGGCACTTCCCGGGAGCGCCGCCACCGGCCCCCGGAGTCCGCTGGAGCGCAGAGCCCCCTGCAGGGGAGGAGGCGAGCGGTCGGCGGGCGCACACCATGCAGTCCCAGCGGGGCCAGCGCCGACTGCTCGCCGTGCTGTGAGGCTGCAGGATCCCCCAGCCGCTGCACCCCGCCTTCCTGCCGCCCAGGTGCTACTCGGTACGCTTACCCTGCGTTCGGCTCCCAGACCGGGTGGAACCACGGCCTGCCTCTGCCTTGGCCCGCCCGGATCATGCAGGGGGCCCCGGAGGAGGACAGGGCGAGTGACGGCCCTGCGCCGACTGCACTCTGGGGGCGCCCCCCGGTCTGAGATGCCTCCACTTGCCATGTGCCGCCGCAGAGACCCAGCCAGTTGCCAAACTTTTTCGGCACTGGCTCGGCTCTGAGTAGCGTTTCTGAGCGGAGTGTCCCAGAGACGGAAACCCCAGGGCTTGGGCTGCCTGCAGACTGTGTGCTCCTCTCGGCAAGACTCAACGAAGGTGAGAGTCCGCGCCTTCCTTTCTCCCCACTCTTCTCTTGTTTCCTCTACCCTTTCCTGGGGGACTGAGGGCTTTGACCCCAGGGTACAGCCTCGAGAGCCTGGCCTGCAAGGTAGGGGTGGGTGGTGAGTGGTTCCAGAACGTGGAGGGGAGGGAAGGGAGAGAGGTTAACGCAGAGATTTGGAGACTGCTTGCGAGGACGGAGCTGTGGACGCCACTGGAACAAGCAGTTTTGATTGCAATGTCTCTCTTCTCCCCCGCTCCACTTTTCTTTCCTTTAAGAGTTCTTTGCCTGGAATCGGAGCCCTAATCCTCCCTCCCTATTTCGATCCGGCAAGGAGCTGAGCTCTGCCAGTGGAGGCAGTGCCTTTCCGAAACAGTTTATCTTTGGAAGGATTTCTTCAAAAGAAAAAGAAACCAACAGGTTGCCAACCCCGGCGCCAAACATCAGTCTGAGAGGCAAGCCGCAGCTCGGCTCTCCTGCCCGCTCGGACCGGCGGCTGGAGGCGAGGCGAGGGGAGGGACGCGGCGATGGCTCGGCCTGACCTGTCGGCGCCGCCCCCGCTGCTGCTGCTGCTGCTGGCTCAGCTGGCCGGTCGGGCGTCGGCCGCCTCGAAGGCCCCGGTGTGCCAGGAGATCACGGTGCCCATGTGCCGTGGCATCGGCTACAACCTGACGCACATGCCCAACCAGTTCAACCACGACACGCAGGACGAGGCAGGCCTGGAGGTGCACCAGTTCTGGCCGTTGGTGGAGATCCACTGCTCGCCCGACCTGCGCTTCTTCCTGTGCTCGATGTACACGCCCATCTGCCTGCCTGACTACCACAAGCCGCTGCCGCCGTGCCGCTCGGTGTGTGAGCGCGCGAAGGCAGGCTGTTCGCCACTCATGCGCCAGTACGGCTTCGCCTGGCCCGAGCGCATGAGCTGCGACCGCCTCCCGGTGCTCGGCCGCGACGCCGAGGTCCTGTGCATGGATTACAACCGCAGCGAGGCCACCACGGCGCCCCCCAAACCCTTCCCGGCCAAGCCCACGCTCCCAGGCTCTCCAGGGGCGCCTGCCTCCGGGACTGAGTGCGCCGCCGGGGGGCCGTCGGTGTGCAAATGCCGCGAGCCCTTCGTGCCCATCCTGAAGGACTCGCACCCGCTGTACAACAAGGTGCGGACAGGCCAGGTGCCCAACTGCGCGGTGCCGTGCTATCAGCCTTCCTTCAGCCCTGACGAGCGCACGTTCGCCACCTTCTGGATTGGTCTGTGGTCCGTGCTGTGCTTCATCTCCACCTCCACTACGGTGGCCACCTTCCTCATCGACATGGAGCGCTTCCGCTATCCTGAACGTCCCATCATCTTCCTGTCCGCCTGCTACCTGTGCGTGTCGCTGGGCTTCCTGGTGCGCCTGGTCGTGGGCCACGCCAACGTTGCCTGCAGCCGCGAGCACAGCCACATCCACTATGAGACCACGGGCCCGGCGCTCTGCACCGTCGTCTTCCTGCTAGTTTACTTTTTCGGCATGGCCAGCTCCATCTGGTGGGTCATCCTGTCACTCACCTGGTTCCTGGCGGCCGGCATGAAGTGGGGTAATGAGGCCATCGCGGGCTACGCGCAGTACTTCCACCTGGCCGCGTGGCTCATCCCTAGCGTCAAGTCCATCACGGCATTGGCGCTGAGCTCTGTGGACGGGGACCCGGTGGCTGGCATCTGCTACGTGGGCAATCAGAACCTGAACTCATTGCGTGGCTTCGTTCTGGGCCCGCTGGTGCTCTACCTGCTGGTGGGCACGCTCTTTCTCCTGGCGGGCTTCGTGTCGCTCTTCCGCATCCGCAGCGTCATCAAGCAGGGCGGCACCAAGACCGACAAACTGGAGAAGCTCATGATCCGCATCGGCATCTTCACACTGCTCTACACGGTCCCCGCCAGCATCGTGGTGGCCTGCTACCTGTATGAGCAGCACTACCGCGAGAGCTGGGAGGCGGCCCTCACCTGTGCGTGCCCGGGCCCCGACGCCGGCCAGCCGCGCGCCAAGCCCGAGTACTGGGTGCTCATGCTCAAGTACTTCATGTGCCTGGTGGTGGGCATCACGTCGGGCGTCTGGATCTGGTCCGGCAAGACGCTGGAGTCGTGGCGGCGCTTCACCAGCCGCTGCTGCTGCCGCGGGCGGCGGGGCCAGAAGAGCGGCGGCGCCACGGCCACCGGGGACTACGCTGAGGCGAGCGCCGCGCTCACGAGCAGGACCCGGCCGCCGGGCCCAGCCGCCGCTTACCACAAGCAGGTGTCTCTGTCGCACGTGTAGGAGGCAGTGGCCGGTGGACTGGGGCCAGAGCGTCGGCGCAGGCGGGGCGGGGGAGCGCTGGTGAGAGGACGCGGGGCGATTGTTTGGTTTGGTAACTTCGCCAAGGTCACTTCCGTTTACTTTAATGGTGCTGGTGCCGCCTCTTGGAGCAACTCGGAGAGAGGGAAACGGGGCAGTTTCATGGAAGTGCCTGTCCCAGGACTTCTCAAAGGGGCGCTCAGCTCACGTGTATTCTTTTTGAGTTTCTAACTACCTTCTTTGTTGTGTTGTTATGTGTGGCCCAGTCGGACCCGAGTCATAGCGACCCCTCCTTGGGTTTCCGAGGCAGTATCACTACGGAAGTAGATTGCCTAACCTTCCTTCCGAGGAGTGGCTGGTGGGTTTGAACCGACAGCCTTCTGGTTAGCAGTCAAGTGCCTTGGGTACTATGCTACCAGATCCACCTTCTTTTACCTTATCTTTAATTTATATGTATTTTGCTTAAACTTTAAATTTGTTGCATTTTGGCAACAAAATTCACCTTTGCTTTGGGGGCTTTACAATCCTGTGGTTGTCGTTATAATGAAGTTCCACTTGGTTCAAGTGACTTTGAACTGTGTGGTCTAAACTGGGAAAATGTATTTCCTATACATGTGTCCTTTAAAAAAAATGTGAACAGTGAAAGTTTGGGTCGCTTTGCCTGGGAAGTTGTTGGATGTTTTTTCAGCTAATTTCTCTTTCCACTGCTTAAAGTATCCAAGATGCTTTAAGGTGAGCTGCTTGTCCCTGTTGATTGTTCCAAAATTAGGAGACGCCCCAAGGTATAACGAGGAGGGGAGCACAATGTATTTAGGGCCTTGCAAAAGCGGCAACGTAGAGAGTGTTTAGTGAATGTTCATCCTTAGCCTTGTTTAGCAAGCTTCCATTTCTTTCCTGTAGTGCTTGTAATCATTCTCATTTTTAACAGCATCAGCATTGTGCTTTGAATAAGTTGGAGGTACCATTATAGAGGGCCCGGTATAAATATTTGGAGTAGTGAAAACCTAAGGGACAGTGATTGGTTAAGATTGAATTCTAGAGTGGGGAGATGGCAGTTTTGTGCCAGGAAAGGAGTGGGTGGTTTTTTAAGTGATACACATATTTATATTTATTTTAAAGGGAACTTGTGTTATACTATTGGTAAAAGCAAACCCGCTCCCTGCTTCTGGAAGTCCTTAGTGCTAATTGCTAAAAGAGCTCCTTTTTGGATTTAAAGACTAAAATGGATACGACTCCAGTAATTAAAGTTAAATTTTCAACACTTCTCTTATCTGCTCCACCCCCACCCCACCTCCTTTATCATGTTAAACATTCATTTTGCTTTTCTTATTCCTCCCCTCCTGGAGAGCTGTGATTAGAAACCACACCCACCCTAGAAGGAGGTGCTTGAACTGGGGGTAGGGGAGGGAGGCAGGCTCCATACCTGCCCACAACTTTGTGAACAAACATTGGCAGCCAGGAAGGAAAATAGGTGTCCCTGGACTTTGGACTAGTTTATAGCCATTTATTTCAAAAGCAGCAAGACTTTGCTCTCTGCACTCCCTGCAAACAAGCAAGGCGCAACGCTCTTGCATAAGCCTTCACTTTTTCCACATGGGTCAGTATAATGCCACAGCTCAGGAGGAGCTGTTTCCCACTCAGTGCATTTTTCTTTTCCTCTAAAAGGAGGCTTGTAGATTTGATTGTGTGAGCACATGCAAACACGTTTCTTCACTTGAGATAATTCTGTTTGCTTTCGTAATCTTTAACCATTCCTGCATTCGTATATGAAAGCTTATTTATTAATGAACACAACCAGGTTTCTTTGCTGTTAGAATATTGTTTTCCTAATGTGTTTAACCATTCATTCGTGAAGAGTGAGAGGTCACACTGGGGAAGGGGTGACAGCAAAATACCAGTGTAATTTCATGACCAGGACTGAGTGGGAGCTAAATTTAGGAAACTAAGATGGCCAAAGCAATTAGCATGGGAGAAAATCTCCTCTGGGAAATAACTGCAGTCCAGCTGTTTGCGCCTCATTTATACCAAAGTTGGCAAAGTAAAATTGAAGCCCAGATCAGTTTTTACTTTATGGATATTAAGTAGATAAATCCATAGTTCCCACTGGGAATGTAAACATTTTGCTGAAGCCTGGTATTATACTCAAAAGGACCCTTGAAAGCTGGTCACATATAAAAATGCAGTGCTTTTATACACTTATCCTCTGATTCAAAATGAACATTTCAGTGGATTTGACAAAACCAGGTACACACAGTTACAAACCTTTCTGCATATCTCTATTTACTCAGAAGCTGTTTCTTAGAAACTTGCAAGTAGATCCTGGCTGGGGGCCAATTCCACTCCTGTTTTGTCAAATGGAACCTTTTCTAATCACCCTGACCCCTTCCCACATTTGTGTGTCTTCACAGAGAGTATGTTTTATATTAGCAATGTGCTGCTAAACCTGATACACTTAACAACTAAGACAGTTAAAACAAAGGATGCTAAGGTCTTGCCTTTTCCGGTCTAATTCTATGTCTGTGAACTGGCCATTGCTTTAGACCAATTGTGGGGGTGCCTCTTTGTTTTTAGTTTCTGTTCTCACCCCTGCTCTTTCTCTCCCTTCCCTCTTCCCCTAAGAGAGAAAAAGATACAGCCCACCTGCTTCCCTAAAGTCTTACTAGTATCAGCCGCCCCACCCCTACCCAGGGGAGAGAAGCCAAATCTGTTTATGATCCCCTCTATTTCCAGGCCACGCACTATTTCCCTGATTTGCATTTTTAATTAGGAAAAGAGTTATGAAAGGTTGAGGGGTAGCTTGGCAGCTCTTCCACAGCTAACTCTGTAGAGCCGGAGAGGACTCAGGGCTGTTTAGTGTCATGTGTCCTAAGGGCTGCCCCGTTCACAGTTCATTTTCACCCAACATCTCTCCTCATAGATGAGGTGTTCGGATTTGGATGGAAGCATGACCAGATTTTAGGGAGCCCTTTTATTTTATATTATTTCCCTCGGCCCAGTTTGAAATTGGCTAGAAATCATTTTTCGTGGTGCCTTATTGGCTTATACTTTCAAACCTTTGTCGTATGTTCATGTGATCATTTCCAGTGACCAGGGCTTGTGTGTGTGTGTGTGTTGTGTCATTGTGTGCACGCACAAGCTTAAATAATGTGCTGGCAGCACTGTTTCAAAGTTGGTATTCATTAGGCTGTTTCCTCCTGGGCCGGGGCTGCACTAATCCTGACACTGGCTGCCAGGAGCAAACCTCACGGCTCACACACCAAACCTTAATAACAGCACCGGTGACCTGCACTGTTCAGTACAGAATGGGAACCCCAGAGCTAGGAGATGCAGTTGTATATTTTAATGAACTGCTACCCCTGCTAAAGAGGCTTCTTTCACTTTTGTGTTCTGCAGAAAGACCGAGGGGGGTGGGAAGGACAAAGCTTTGAATACCTGCTTTCTAACACAGAATGCGGCAAACAGGATGGAGACATCACAAACCCAGGCAGGTGCGCGCTATCGTGGTGAAGAGTCGCTTGCTCTGTCTACTTCCCCTTTCTTGTCTCCAAAGTCCAATGAAGTGATCCTGGGAAAGAAGTATGTCTGGGTTGGAGAGGGTGAGGGATAGGCAGGATGAAAGTAAATAAGGAACTTGGCTCTAAAATCTCAAAAGCTTCCAGCAGCTTGATGACGATTCCAGGATTTCACCCAGGACAATGTATGCGGTATATTATTTTAAAACAATATTCCTTCATGTTGTTACAAACTGTGTGTATAGTATGTATGTTTTGTGAGTGTGTATATACATAATATATATTATATATATGAGAGATTTAGTGACTTTTGATACGGGTTTGGTGCAGGTGAATTTATTACTGAGCCAAATGAGGCACATACCGAGTCGTTGGAATCCAGGGCATTCAATAATTTTTATTATTCCGAGATAATAGGCAGAGTGCCTATCCCACGCAGTATATAGTCAGTGACATGTCAAACCGAGAACTCATGAATCAGAGCCAGTGATACTGTATTTGTAGACAATCAACGTGAATCTATACATTATTACTGGGAGGTGATTATAGTTCTGAATCCATGACATAAACAGAAGGAAACCCAGAGCATCTTGGTAAGAAGTTCTTGTTTTGTTCCTGGAAGTCAGTAGAACAGCAGTTGTACGTGGTTACGTTAGTCTCAAGATACTTTAATTGCTGACATTATTACTTTGGGAAAATTTTATATGTATTATATTTGTGGAAAGGTAAAATAAAGGTTTGAGATTTTTATCAAATATGGAGATTAGCTATTTATGAAAAACAAAGAAATGTCTATTTTTGTTTCTTTGTTCCCAGTTAATGTAGAAAAATGAATTAAAGCAATGGTCAAGAAAATGAAAAGATGCTGTAGAGGTCTTTTTCTCCTCACGCTTTGATTGAAAGACGTGGTGCTTTCAAGAAGTGTCTGAGGAGATATGTGGGTTCCATAATCAGATTTCTCAGGTGTGCTTAAAATATAGAAGGCAAAGTTTCTAATAAGAAAAATAAAGCAAATTCCAGTCACCAGAAGCAGAACTAATTAAATTTTTGTTTCACTCAAATACACTTTATAGATTTCTTCTGCCATTCCTGTGAGTGTTTCATAATTCACTTGAAGAAATGAAGGACAATACACAGAGGAGCAAAGACATGCCTGAGACTGGTTCTCTTTTATAAACCCTCCATCTATCTCGTACTTGTTTGAATAGAGATGGTGCCGTTTGTATCTCGTTTTGAGGGCAGGATCTCCCAAAACTGCTTAACAACAATTAGATGCACAACTTTATATCAAGCTCTCAATACTGATCAAGAAGCCCAGATAAGAAGATAAAAGTTTCAATTTACAGTGGGGGCACCTACCTGATAATCTGGACAGATGCTTAGCAAGACAGATACTATTGTCAAAGTACAAATAATCCGATTTATGACTGAGTTCCGTCCAAAGACTCCATCATAAGTCAATTCTGATGTAAGTTGAATACCTCTTTTCAGTTT